TTTAAATATTTTATTTTAGACTTATTTCATCATTAAACAACCTTAATAATTTATTTTATGATATTTACATAGTTTATATTTGTTTTTATTAATTACATAAAAACACAAAAATATTTTAAAATTTTATGATTTTATTTGTGATTTTACGATTTACGATCTTATCTCTACTTTACGATCTTAGTTAAAATCTCGATTTTAACAACCTTGATTTCAAGTAAGCATGCTCAATTTAATAAAAAGCATAAAAATTTCATTTTAATTGATCATACTTGTATAAAACGGGTTTGATCCCCCACCACTTCAAAAACAAGTCAAAACATGTTTTTTTTTTTTAAAACTGTACGGGCATTACCATAAATTTACTTACCTCACTCGCATAAAAGCAAAAACTCGATCTCAGTACTAAACTGACAAAACTATCAGGAACCTAATCAAAATATCACGGAATATTTTATCAAAATAACGGACATCTCCAAATTTATTCTTATATTACAAACTAAACATTTAAATCCCCCCGTTAATTATTGGCCATCTGTGCGTGAACAGTGTTCAGTACCGTGAACAGTAACTTCAACTTCCAAAATTGACAAAACAATAACTAATCTCACGGGATTTTTCTCCAAAATCACAACAACCCAATTCAAGCTAATTTACACTCCAAAATCACAACAACCCAATTCAAGCTAATTTACACTTAAACTAAGCTTAAAAACATAGCTTAAGCTACCAAAATTTCCCCATTTCTCACGGGCAGCACATGGAGAGCATAGCTTTGGCAAACCACAACTCACACACACGGGATTTTCTCTCCAAAACATCACAACAGCCTAATTAACAAAATTCCTACATAAACCAAGCACAAAACACATTTAAAATGCTGCTAAATGCTACCGGAATTCCTCCCCCATTTTAGCAAAATTCGGCCAAGCACATGGCAGCACTTAATGGACAAAACCCAACAATTAAATGGGTAATTTCGGACTTAATGGGGCTGTCAACATACTAGAATTTCCAGCCAGCTGCAGAACCGGACTTGGCGGAGGGAAGAAGCCGGCGGCAAATTCTGTAGGGGACTCACGGCTACCTCAAAATTGGAAGGACAAAGAAATTAAGTAAACCCAACCTAAATCAAAGTTAAAGAGAGGGATTCATGGCTGTAGCTTACCAGAAAAAGCCCAAAATTCGCACCTCACACAGCAGAAACTCGCGGACAGCAGAGGAGGCAGACACAAAGCAACGTAGATCTAGAAAATTCTGGGTTTAGGAGAGTGTTCTAAGTCCTAAAATCGGTTCTTGGACAAGAAAAGAAGGAAATCAGTCAAGCCTCTCACTGGTTTTTCTCAAGAAGAGTGCGTCGGTGGCTATGGGGGAGGCTTTCGGGAGGCAGAGCATCGGGGAGAAGAAAAAGAGCAAACACGTAAATGGCTAAGGGGAAAAAGAAGAAATATTAGCTGGATCCTTATCCAAATTCTTTCCCCTTTTAAGCCCCTTGAATTTAACACAATTTGCCATTAGGTTCACTAATAATATTCCCTCACAAGTTAGTCCCTAACTCACACTTATTTATTCTAAAAAATTTTGGGGTATTACACTTTAATTCTTAAAATATTATCCAAATGGGTGATGAAGAGGAGTTTTCCATGTTATCCATTAACAAAATGGAACTCACCTACAATGAGAGATGCAGACACCCAACCACCGATTTTTGTTCTGTCAGCAAGATCACCGTTGTAGTTAACTACACCTGGGACGAAGGATGGGATCATATTCTCCTCCTTGATAGTGAAAAACAACTTAAGATAGAGAATAAAATAGCACAGTTTGATGTATGCAACTAGTAGTTGTAGACAATGAAAAGCGCTCTCACATACTTTGGTGGGTCTTCATAAAGAAAGATACTGGAAGATTCTCAATATTTTTTTGAGAAGGAAATATGTTCAATATTAGGAATAGAATTTCCTAATTAAAAATACAAATCAGTTAAAAAAATATCCACTTTCCTTCGTTGAACTTTGTAGATCAACTTTCTAAATCACTACTAGAAAAATGGCATCACCTAAAGCAATGCCAAATAGTCATTCTGTGGCATTATATAATTTGCTTGACACCACACACACCATGTCAAATGTCAGTGTGAGAAAAAAGCATGTCAAATAATAGTTTACCTTGCTTTTAAAAAAAAATGCAATGTATTAGGAATTGTATCATGAATGGATATTTCACAATATACATTTCACCTAGCATTTCTCATCTTCCATATTCACTTCACTTCAATTAGAATTCCTGTAATACCCCAAAATTTCCTAGAGCATATAAGTGGAGTTAGGGACTTAATAGTGAGGAAACATTATTAATGGACCTAACTGTCAATCTTTCAAACTTTAAAGGGGTTAAAACTCTTATTGGATAAGGCCGGCTGACTCATCTCTTTTTCCTTTTTCTTTTCTTTCCTTCCTTCTCCCAGCCATTTTCGCGTCTGCTCTGTTTTTCTCCCTGCTGCAGCCGAAGTGAACCCAGCCATTTTCCAGCGTCCCCATCTGCAAATTGGTAAGAGAACTTGATGATTTTTGTTCCCCTCTTACCCAAGAACAAGTCTAGGACTTTGAACTTCTCTCTTTTGCAGAAAAGCCGCCGGATCTGCTCTGCTTCTTCCCCCTCTGCCGCCTGCTGCTGCTGGTTTTTCTTGGTAAAACCAGCCCATAAATTCCTCTTTTCAGCCTTAGTTCATGTGAGTTTACTCTAATTCTCCTTTCTTTCAATTGCTAGAAGTTGCGTGAAGTTCCCCTGCAATTTTTCCCGCCGGCTCCTCCCATACTCGCCAGCCCCAGCTTTGCTTGTTGAGCATTTTTGGTAAGTTGGCTTCTCTAATCTTTGAAAATTAGCGGATTAATGGCTGCTTTGTGAGTTATTTGGTTGTATGAAATGAGCTTGGTTGTCCGAAAATTTTGTTGAAATAGGGATGAATTTCGGCAACTTGAGAATGGGTTTTGGTTGATGAATTGTGTAGGAAATTAGGGAGTTTTGGCTGTTGTGTGTGTGTGTCCATGAGGAAAGGGGAGAACCCCGTGAGTTGGCCATTTTTGTCAAGGCCGGTTCTCCCATTGCTTGTCCATGAAATTGAGGAAATTGGTATATGGGTAATTATATAATGGTAGATACATAGATAAATAACCAATTCCGGTTAATGCTTGATTTTCACATAGAAAAGCAAAAATGAAAATAAATAAAGGAATGAAATTTCCTTATAGATATTAACTCGAGAATATTGTGATTAGGTCCTTGATTGCCCTGTGATCTTAGCACTTGGATTAGGCCTTCTGTTCTGCGTGACTAAGGTAAGTAAATTATGGTAAAGCCCGTAAATTTTCGAAGCATATTTTAATTGTTTTCTGAGATGGTGGCGAGGTTTAAATGGATTTATTTGCATTTGAGCATGATTAAAAAGGGAATTTGAACTTTTATTATTTTCCTTCTTTTCTAGAATTGAGCATGCCCACATAAAATTCTTCGGTTTATTTTTGAAAGTGAGAACGATCGTGATTTCTGTAAATCTTGCTTGGTTTTGTCTCCGATATGGTTGTGAAATCGTGACCCCGCTAGTGGGGGAGGTTACAAACGCTAGCACATGTCGACATGTTCATGATAGGACCGGTTCGCTCGTGGCCCTACTAGTGGGGATTATACACTAGTAACTTGTTTGCCTGCCAGTGGGAACTGGCCATGACTAATAGAGGAGACCACTACGTGATTTTACTTGCATTAATGATTTGTTATTGAAACACTCTGTTCTTGAAACGCTCTGTTCTTGAAATGCTCTGTTCATGTTTCAACCGATTATTTGGCATGCTTTATACTTGATGTCGGGCCCCCATGTTTACTTACTGAGATATTTTATCTCACGGTTTCCTTGTCCACCATTTCAGGTAGTGAGACCCGACGCGTGGGAAGCCCGGGAGAGTGACGAGCTAGACGGCTAGGCATTTTTGGAGTTAGTTCTGTAGCTAGGCCGTTAGTCACCCATGCGGATTTAGGACTTTTGTGTACAGGATTTAGTGTTAGTCATGATTGTATATATAAAGTGATAAATTTTGTACATTCGCTGGTAACTATTTGGTAAAGTAAAAAGGCTTAGATCTGAATTACCTAAATTGCTAAGTAAGAACTCAATAGGTCTCGAGCCTTGTGCATTTGTGGGCCCCGCTCACGAGTGCACGGCGTCTGTTTCGCTCTCGGTTTGGGGCGTGACAATTCCTTTAATCACATTCATGAAACCACCACATCTATAGAACTGATAAAGATTCAATATTCTAATTAAGTTTCATCCATAAATCTAGTTGAGTTTATCTTAATAAATATAGTCAAGTTTATCCACTGAATTTATGTAATATGTATTATCACTTAGTTTATATATAGACTGGTGTTGTATGAGAGTAATTGAAATTGACAATGGAAAGAAATGGAAGCATACTTTTCATCTCTTCTCTTTTTATAGTCTTACCTTGTTTTCTTTATATATTTAATTTCCTCCAATAAAAGTACATTTTCACTATATAATAATAAACATAAAAAACAAAAGATTTAAACAAATATCAATATATGCAAATCAAAGCATTTAATATTACTGCAAAATTTTATAGAACATATAATGAAAAATTAAAAATATAGTATATAACTCTAAACTTACTAATCATAAAAATTATTAAAATTATCAATAAATCTTGAATAAATACTTAATAGGCTTCTTTTAAGACTTCAAAGTTCACATGGAACTTAAGAGTCTAATATATTTCAATTCAAAGAGTATACTATCAGACTTTAATAAACTTCTAGACTTTAAATCAAATTCTAATTAAATTTGAACTCAAATTTTAATAATTGTATATTATATATAGGACTTTTTGGAATTGCATTACTATCTTACTATTTTTCTTACCATATTCTAAAAATTATTAAATTTTTTAATAAATCTTGAATAAATATCTAATGAAAATTTTAAAATTCTCAATAAATTCTTAATAATAAATTTTCAATAAATATTAAATAGTTATTCAATTGGTCTTTTAAAATCTTGAATAAATATCAAATAAATATCCATGACTTTTTAAAATTTAAATTCAATTATGTTTTACTGTATTATAAATATTATTAAAATTTTCAATAAAAATTCAATAGAAATTTTAAAATCTTTAATAAATATTGAATAAATATCCAATCAGTCTTTTAAAATTTTAAATAAATAACCAACAAGTTTTTTAAAATTCAAATTAATTATATCTTATTATCTTATTATATTATAAAAATTATTAAACTCTTCAATAAATCTCACATAAATCCTAATGAGTCTTTCAAGATCCCTTTAAAATACTAATAAATACCGAATTTGTCTTTAAAATCTTCAATAAATAATTATAAATGTAATTATAATTTTAATTATCAATATCTCAATTTGATTTCACAAATTAATTAGATAGAAAAAAAAAACCCATTAGCGTCCATTTTATATATTTTTAATATTTTATTTTCAAATTGGTCAACAACTTTAATATATATATATATAACTCTACCCTCTGCATTAAATAGGGTATGCATTTATATATATAATATAATATTTAACAATTGCTTAAAAAAAAAAGAAAAAAGAAAGAGATGCATTAAAAGAGAGTAA